CTGTTGTGTGTGTGTGTGTGTGTGTGTGTGTGTGTATGTGTGTGTGTGTGTGTGTGTGTGTGTGTGTGTATGTGTGTGTGTGCGTGTGTATGATTATGTGTGTTTGTGTACGACTACAGTTTAAAAACAAACGCAAAGGAGTATTGACTCTAGCCCCTGCCTCCCTGCCAGCCTCTCGGTGTTTTCAGTGACTATCCTTTAACTTTAAGCGGTCATGGAAGCTCAAGATCAGACACAGACAAGCGTGTCGAAGTCATGGGCTGGGTTAAGCCACTCAGAATACCGCGGGGGCAAAAACAGGAGACAATTGGATGAAATTGATAGAAATACCCAAGCTCTAAAAGGTACAAAAGTACAACTGACACTATAGCACATGTCACTTAAGGCAGGTATTGAGATAAAAAGTTCACCAATTGCTTCCAGCTGGTCTATAAACTAGGTCTATTACTTTTGATTTTCAAGAAAGATAGTTTTTAAAGTTTAAAAAAAAAATTGATTATCAGCTTACCGTGGACCACACTCGATTTGCAGACCGGACTAATTTGCTTGAGGGCCTCATCTGGCCGGCGGGCCGTATTTCTCCATTCCTGTTCTAGATCTACCTCAACAAGGTCTGGAACAGAGACTTCCAGGCACCGTAAAACAGCACACACTCACCGTCTAGTTTTGTCCACGGTCTTGTTTCAACCACAGTCTTTTCTTCATCACATTCAAGTTTCAGCAGGTGTCTTTTTCCCGCTACAGTCTATTTTCAACATCGTTTTGGTCTTCGACATTGTTTCGATTATGTCACTGTCTAGTTTTCCGGTCTAGTTTCTGCCACGGACTAGTTTATGTGGTATCCTTCATGGTCTAGTTTTATTCAAAGTTTATAGTCTTTGACATTGTTTTGATTATGTTACAGTTAAAATTTTCCGCGACGATTTAGTTTTCGCTACGATCTTGTTTCTCTCACGATCTGATTTCTGCCAATATCTAGTACTAGTAGGCCTACCTGCCACAGTCTAATTACTATGGGTCTAGTTCCTGTAACGGTCACGTTTCCATCTCTGTCCAGTTCCTGTCACGGTCTAATTTCTACACCTGTCTAGTTCCTGTCGCGGTAGAGGTTCTTCTTTTGTCTAGTTCCTGTTACGATCTAGTTCCACATCCGTCTAGCTCGTGTCACGGCTAACTTTCCACCTGTCACGGTCTGGGTTCGTCCTCTGGCCAGTTCCTGTCATGGTCTAGTACCTGACAAAGTCTCTTCCCGCTACTGTTTTCGTTTTGTTTTTGCTATCGTCTCCCAAGCATTTTAGTTTAGGGAAGGGGAAGGGGTGCAGTAGATTTGAAGCCCTTGGCAGGGTGGGTATAAATAGGTCGTTGGTGTCCCAGGCATTACACTTAAACCTTTTGGGGTACTTTTTACACAGGATGCAAAAAAAAACCCACATCTTTAGTGAGGTCGAAAATTCATGGGGCAACTAATTGTCTAATATTTTCTCAACTATCGAACATAAAACATGAAAGCTCCAACCTTTGCACAATCACTTGTATCAATTTGTTTTAACAAATCAAATATTTTTGTTAGCACCTATAGATCTAAGCTTTATTCTAGAAAATTTCTTATTGAATAGGCTACTAATTAAAAAGTTTCAGCAGATGGTTTCTAGAGATTTTGAAAGGTGTACAGCTAGGACTTTATCGTTTTAAAAAGAACTTTTAGAGAGAAAAAAGTGTTCACTATAAAATCAATTTCTTGTGACAAGTTTTGCCACTAAGTGTCATTGGTGAGCAGTGACGTAGGCCATATGCGTGTGCAAAATGTGTGTGTGTGTGTGTGTGTGTGTGTGTGTGTGTGTGTGTGTGTGTGTGTGAGAGAGAGAGAGAGAGAGAGAGAGAGAGAGAGAAGAGGAAAGTTGTGAACAATCCCATCTAAGCGTGAGGGAGATTTATAGTGTGTATAATTTTATGAAGAAAAGTCTAAATTGTTGCGGAAAAATATGATAAAGTTAGGACAAATTGATACAAACTTCTGCACAAAGTATGGGTAACATTGATTCATCCATCAAAGAGATTTAAGAAAACGTTGCGCCACAGATGTTTGACCGCACTATAGGGTGCATCTCTCAGGTGTGACCAGTGATTATAAATACCGTATTTACGGTCTCTGGGTGTGACCATCATCAATAATTTATTTATAGAGACACCAGCTATCCGTGTCCAGATGCTGTTTTAGCCCAATTTTAAACCTTTTTTGACTTGAGAAACAAAACATTCACATCCCTCAGCAATCCTGTTGAACAGGTGGGGAATGCACTTGATCACCAATAATATGTGTGAGGCAGCGTAGTGGAATCAGGCTCTCGTCAGAATAATCAAAGCGAAGAAACTTGCATTTTCCCGCAGGTTTGTGAATTTTTATCAAATTTTTGTTTTTTGCCTCATCACCTTTCATGGCCATTAAAGAACTCATTTCTGTGTGGATTTTACATAAAAACGTTGATTAAAGGAACAAAAAATGTAAATTTTCAGTTACCACGGACTCTTCAGCTAAGGAAATAACTAATCTTTGGCTGCCATTTTCTCACTAATTCTACCTCTGAAAACAGGTGACCCCCACCTCCTTCATTCGCAAATATCTCCACTTGTATTCAAGATAAATGGATATTTTTTTTCATTCAAATAAAGACAAGTAAACAAGCTATAAGGTCACACCAATAACTCTACTTGCCCAAAAATTGACGAGTGCCCACTACACTGCCTCAAATATTTATAGAGGCACCAGCTATCCACGTCCAGGTGCTGTTTTAGCCTCTCTGTGTGTCGACATTCGGGCCGTAATGACGACCATCGAGACAGATGATTCTTTTAACTTATTTTAAGAATTGAGAGGGGTCCAAACTAACGTATACCTTCAAGGGTATCGCGACACGCTCTCCGTGGCTAATGGCAGTCTGGTTCACAAGCTTAGGTGGGTGTTGAAGTCCTCCCGTAAACGCGGCATAACTATGTGGTCATCTGTCGAGATATACTTAATTTTGCAGGCTCCCGGGTATTTCCGTAAGGTCAAGGGTCAAGTAGGAAGCGTAGCATACATAAACGGAGATGCGGCGGCTTGGTGACCACAATATGGGCGGTAGGCGGGTGAAAGGTGGGTGACTGTTGGGTGAATGCTGCTGGTAGGTGGGTGGATCATACGTGGTCAGTGGGTGGTACGCAGGTGGTAAGAAGTGGGTGGTTGGTAGTTGTCAGGTACCATGTAAGTGGGTGGTACTCCTCCCTCTTTTTTTCTCTGTCTCCCCATCCCCCCCTCTCTCTCTCTCTCTCTCTCTCTTTC